ACCGGCGACTTCTTCCCCGGGTCCAGCGTGGCCCCGGCCGGTTCCTCCCCCAGGGATCGCGTGTCCTTGTTCAGCTGCTGTAGTCGGGAACTTAGCTCGCTGATCACAGTTGGCTTGTCATCGTCAGCCCCATGGATGGGCCTGCTCTCCATGGGGTCCCCCCATAGCTTGGACCTTCTCTGAAAGAGGTAGCGTGGCCGGCCAATGCTGGCTGACGCCAGAGTGGCCGCATGTTGCTGGGAGATGAGCTCGCTGTCCGAAGACTGCTTCAAAAGTGGGTCCCTGAAAGTAACTGGCCCCTTGCTGAGCTGGGACTTGAGTTTTGGCTTTGGAGGCACTGGTGGCTTCTCGAGTATAAAAGTTTGTCCATCCGCAAAGGAAGTGTATGTGTCAGTGGGCTCCCCGCTTTCTGAGGACAACGTAGACATGCTGGAGACCGTAGAGATGGTGCTTGTGGTCTCCAGGTGATGGTCACTTGAACTTCTGGTGTCCACCTCTTCCACTCCTGAGTCTGCAGCAGACTCCGGGGCTACGGGGGCATCAGAGGGCTTCCCTGAGGGTGTTCCGCCAGTGGTAGAAGGTGCTACTGCTGCCGCTGGTATGGGTGGCGTGCTGGGCGTAGCCAGGTGGCTGACCGGCGTGCCAGGGGTGGTGACCAGGACCCCGTTCGCAAACTCATCTGGTGGAGGCACCAGCCCGATCTTGGCCAGCTCCTCCCTGGTCTCTTCGTCGCTCGAGGACAGCTGGGCCGGCGGGAGGGTGACCGTGTAGGGCTCCACTTCCTCCTCCGAGCTCCCTTGCCCCAGCGTCTTGTCGGAGGCCGGACTGACCGGAGGCTTTCCCACGGGACTGGGCTGGGGCTCTGCTTTGGGGGACTCGGCCGGCTCCGTGCATGCTTCAGGGACAGCTGGCTTCTCCTCCTTGATCTCAAGTCCTATCTCGTCTTGGCCGTTACTTGTGGCGTGAACCATGATGAGGCCAGCGGTCTTCTGCTGCGATGTATCCACTATGCTAATGATCATGGACTTCTTGTCCTCTTGCTTCTTCTCCTCCTTCCCGGGTGTCTCTGCTCGTGCCTCGGGCTCTTTCCTCAGTGTGGATGGAGTCCCCCACGGGCTCTTCGCGGGGGCCAAAGTCCCAGAGTCCGTCCCGATCGTCCCTTTGCCTCCAGGCGAGTACGCAGGGGACACCAGGCTCTCCAGCTCCCCCCGCTCCGGTTCTTTGGTTTGGATGTCCACGAAGAGGGGCGCCGCCCTGTCTGAGTCGGGGCTGTGGATCGGGGTGGGCGACCGGGACGGGACTTGAGTGGAGAGGGCCCGTTCCCTTGCGGCCAGCGCAAGCGCCAGGGGCGAGTTCGGATCCAGGGGCTTGCCCGTCAGCGGGTGGATGAACGTCGAGGATGAGCTGCTGATCAATGGCTTTAACGCTGAGACAGGGGAAGGCAGTAGAACATCTCGGCTTCCTAAGAGCCGCTCGTCGATAGACCTGGACTGCTGCAGGGATGGCATGTCGCTGCTGGGGGGGGTGCCCTCGATGGCCCCGACCGAGAGGAAGACTGTGGATTTCCGCCTCTCATCCAGGCGACGGTCTCGGTCCTTCATGACCCCGGCGATGGCAGTGGCGAAGGGGATGCTCGTGGCTTCCACCTGGGCGATGCCGGCGTGGTGCTGATACTCCACCCCGCTCAGGCGGTGGCTGCGGCGGGTGGGGGAGGGCTCCCTGGTGAAGCCCCCGGTGATGGCCAGCGCTGCTCTCTCCTGGGCATCCTCCACTTGTAACTGCTTGACCAGAGGACTCTTCTTCCTCTGCGGCTTGGTGGGAGCAAACAGGCTGACGTTGAACTGGCCCATGTTGGCGTAGGGGTTGTCAATCACTCTCCCCTTCCTCTTCAGCTTCTCTGGAGGGGTCGCAGACGGGCCAGGCCGGGGGATCTCTGTCGGCTCCACGGGAAGATGAGAGGAATCCTGTAGGATTATCATGGATCGGGCCCTCTTCTGCCTTTCGGGGTAAGGGATGGAAGTCCTCGCCTGATCGTACATCTCAGCTGCACTGATGACTTGCGGGAGTCCGTGGAGTTTAGCCTCCAGGCTGGGCTTAAAGCTTGACCTTATGGTGTCGTAAGCTCTTCCTGGGGGTGGAGGTGGCGAGAAGGATGGAGGGGGGCCTGTGTCGAAGTAATATGGAGAAGGAGGTGGGGGCGGGGCTGTCTGAGGTGGTGGTGGAATCCCATGTCCTTCCCTAACAGTGTCTTGCATCGATGTGCTGCGGGGAAACTTCCCATCTAGCAAAGAAGCAGCAAGTTTCTCGTCTTCGCCTGGAGAACAAGGAGCAGAGGGACGTCAGCAGGGTGTCACCAGAGGACTCGGAGCACAATGATCGCCCCACAGCAGATGTGACATCCCTCTCTTCCCCCCACCACACCCCACCTTCCTTCTGACGTGACCTTCCACTTTACCCTTAGCTTGGGGTGAGCACTGGCAGCCGGGCCCCTCACTCGTGCTCA